TCAAGATATATTTTTTAAAAAAATTAAAATAGTTTTCATAATTAGAACACTCCTAATGTATTCAAAACTTTGAGATTTGATGCTTTTTTAGTATTATATAACAAAATTTCTAATAAGAGTAATTTAATCAAATTGAACAACTATTATCATGTTATGTGGAATGCTCAATGAGTGAGTAAACTTGTGTCACTTAATAAATCCAAATCTTTATACTTCTTCTAAGTCATAATATAAGACATCTTCTAAAAATTTTATGTGGTTCAAAATATAGGGTATTTGACAATTTTTATATTTATTTTTGAAAAAATTAATCTTTTAATCCTTTAACTTTTAACTTATTTATGACTTAGTCTTTTAACTGTGACTCTCTATGACTCAGTTCTTTAACTATGACTTGCTGTGATTTAGTTCCTCAACTTTTGACTCATTTATAACTTTATCCTTATTTTTCAATTTTTTTTAAAATTAACATTATCAAATAAGAGGGATAAAAGAAATGCTCATATTTAACTCTAAAATATCCTCTTTTTGCTCTTTGATGTGAAATCTAAACTAACATGAAAAAGAGAGCTAGCAAAAGTTGAAGAATCAAGTTATAGGCGAGTCAAAAGTTGAGAGACTGAATCGTAATGATACATAGTTAAAGAACTAAAATATTAATTTTTTTATTTGTTAACTACACTCATACTTCATTTATTACTCTTTTTAAAAAAATTATGCATTAAAATTTTAATTACTATTATTAAGATTTTTATATAGGGTATTTAATGAATGTATAAATAAAAAGATATAAATATTTTTAAAAATTTAAGATTTCAATATGTAAATTAATTAACCCTGGCTTATATTATAATCCAGCGAGTAAGTCTTTAACCCATAACCAGTTTCTTTGCTTCATCTTTTTCACCTACTCATCCTCCAACTTTAATCAATAACCAAAAACAAATTATTTTTAAAATTTTTATAAATATAACCTATGTTATATGATTAAATTAAATAAAATATTTAATATTTATTATATTTTACATTACGATTGATTTATTATATTTATTAATAATATATTAATAATAAGTTTTTTTGTAAATTTTTAAATTTTTAATAATAAATTTTTTATATAAAAATAATAAATATTTTATATATTAATATCAACGTGACGCACTTGTAAATTATTAAAAATTTAATTTATATTTTTTGAGTATGAATTTTTTGTGTGTTGGTGAGCCAATTTATCTATCATTTTTATAAAAAAAACAAATAAATCATACACTTATCGTTTTGAGTTAAAGTTGGCAGCTTTTTCAAAACCAAAACTGTTCTCCCACTCATTATCCACTCCGAAATTTTAAAACATCATAAATTTGCTCGAATTATTCTCACCCATGCAGGAAGCCAACAAACATCAAGTGGCTGGATTCAGTGACACGCGAATACACGCGACTCAATTGCCTAGAAAGTTTCGCCCCAATGAATCTTAAATTCGACGGTCTCAGTGTTGCCACGTCATTCCAGATAACTGCTTTGATCATGATCCGATTGGATGATCCCTTGACCCCATGCTCGCTTGGTGGTGGGCCCCCCAACTGTATCTGAAACAGGCCCACCCTGCATGATGTCACGTGACCCCACGCTGCCATCTGCATTACATTAAACATTGGAGGCCTTGTTTCGCATGGGACTTAAATTTAAGGGGATTGATATTGAAATTAAGATTAATATTAAAAATAAAAATAAAAAAGGTTCGGTATAAAGTAATACTTGTAAAAAATATTTATTTTAAATTATAAAAAGATTATAATAAAACATAAATTATAAAAAGATTATAATACTCCTTAAAATTAAAAAAAATTTCATTAATCCTCCTTAACCTTCTCAACGAGTGACTAGAGCAGCAGAGTATCATCTTTGATTCGATGATGCTCCACACTCCACCACCCCTTTGCTGTGAGATCCAAAGGTCAATGGTTGTGAGATTGGAGAAGGAGAAGGTGGTGGCGTTTGCTAGACCCAAAGGTCGGTGGCGATGAGATTGGAGAGGAGAAGGCGATAGCTTTTGTGAGACCCACAGGCCCTTGGGTGCAAGATCGGAGAAGAAGGAGAATGTATCGAAGATGGTGGGGATAAAGGTGAGAGATTGGACGTGTTCGACAGATTCAAGCAAATTGAAGAGAAGATGACTGATTCGAATGAATGCAATGATAGAGATCATTTTTTGGAGCTAGATCTAGAATATTTCGAATTGAAGATGACGATGATGGATCTGGGACTAAAGATGTTAGATTTGGGACTAAAGTAGATGATGGATCTCAAACCAGTGAAGGAAGAAGATGAAGTAGACAAAAAGAAAGGTAAGAGCATTTCGATCTTTATAAAAATCAATCTTAGATTTGATTTTGCAATAGCGGGGGTGGTAGTACTAAATAATCCCACCTAGATGGGATTGGGATTTGGGTTAAAATCTTCATTCCCACGTACCAAATACATAAGTTTGGAATTAGTCTATCTCAATCCTAGTACCACCCCCTCATTTCTCCATACCAAACAAGCACTACTATAGAAAATGAGCTTTAGTGGCATTTAAAATTTTAATTTCGTGGCATTTATAAATGCTATAAAATTCAATGCTATCTTAAATTCTAGTACTACCCCCTCATTCATCCATACCAAACATGACTATAGTATTAGCCAGGAATCTCAAGAAACTGTTACCACAAAAAAAAAAAAGAGGAATCTTGAGAAATTGTAATGGAAGTGCCATGCTTGTAAAAATTGATGACTTAATTTCCCAGGAACCAATCGGATGATTTATAAGTTGGATTCTCTCTTTGCATGTTGCTTGAATTAATAATTTGGATATATATGAAAATTTAATGAAAAATTTGATAGACGTGCTATATAAAGCAAAGGCATCGCTCGTCAATACAAAATGTTGATTTTTCTTCTTTTCTTTTTAATAATAATGGTTAAGCGTATATATTTCATTCATTGAATCATTCTTGCCATCAGTAGCAAAAAAATATGACAAAGGTTAAAAATCTGGCAGACTATAGCTTATGATAAGTATGAAATGATTCTCCTTAACTAGGACGCATGATAATATGAAATTTGTGTACCACCAATCATGCATATATAACGTTAACACCACGTGCGAAGCAAGGCAATAATGCAATGAAAAGAACATATCTGAGTTACAGTGATCTTTTTTTGTTGGAGTTACTGGTTGTATGATCCAACGTTAGAGACTTTGTGTACGTAAGATTTAGTCTCCCAAAATTAACACCCATAATACAATTAGCTAGCAATATCTTTATCTCTTGTTAAATACTTATAATCATCTTATAAAGTGATGGGGAAATGGGGACACAAGATAACGTATCACTCAACTAGATCCAAAGAATGAAAGATAAGTTCTATCTCCTGCAATATTAACAATTTCGATAAATTTTCCAATAATAACCATTTCGTTGTCTTTTTTGTTTGGTCACAAAAGAATGTCATGATTTGTTTTTAACATTCAAAGACAGGTATAACCTGACAAAAAAGAATGTGATGTTTTAATGTGCTAGGTGCAGCATTTTCCCTCCGGTTTTGCTCATCTGTTAAAATAATAATCATTATATGCTTTCATAAAACTTAAAGTGTATGTTAAACATTTTGATTATTATTGTTTAAAAAAGAAAAAAAATCAGTCATTGAGATCCTTGTAACATTCGTAATTCGATTCTTGAATTTGAATTCAATGCAACTCAGTCCCTTTAAACTTTAGCTAGTTAATCCATTGGTCTTACACTTTATAATTCAATTACAACCCAATCCAAGGAGAGCTAGACATTTTTTAAAAATATAGGGACTAATTTGTTAAATGTCTAAAACTTGAGAGGCTAAGTTGACTGAGTTAGAACTTTAGAGATTATGTTGTGATGGAATCAAAACTATATAAATTAAATTATTTTACAGTAGTTTCTCACATTTTGTGCATGCAGCTTAGGACTAACATTAGTTAGTTTACAATAAAAAGGATTAGCATAAAACTTGGTTGGGAAGTAATTAAACATGTGAAAAGTAGGTGTATTAGAATTTTTCTTTTAATGAAAAAGAGTGATAGAATTTAATTGAATGAAAACTTGAATGTGCAATGAAATATATATAAAGCCCGAAAAATGCTTACGCTTTCAATTATGCTTTAAAATAATCGAGTCATTTTGATCTGAGCCGGCAGTCAACATTAACCGATCATCAGATAACGCTCACTTTTTGAGAAGCATAAATAGAGTCTGCAGCATTACTTTTTGAGAAGAAAATGGCAAAATGCTTGAAAATATAATTGAGAACGCATAAAAAACTGTGGGTATGTTGAAAATGGAAAGAATGAGAATTACCCATCACCATTTGTTAAAGGAGCGATCGAAGTGGATATGTCTGCGGCCTAAAGGCTTTAATTACTTTTTTTTTTTTAAGTAAATCATCCAAGTCTGAAGTAAAAGTTCTGACTAATCTTAATTGAGTCAAGTCAAGATTTTTTTGGGCGAAATCAATACCACCAAATGTTGTTACATTTTTAAAATTTGAACACGAGAAACGATACAACTCTGTTACTGGTTGAAAGTACTTGTTGGTAAAGGCCACACTTTCATATATGTGGCCAAACGTCCGGGTATCAGATTCATATTCTAGTATCCAAATAAATGAAATATGGTATCAGATGCCACATTATGAATGAATTCAGATGCAAATGAAAGTGGATTAATATATGTAGCCAGGCCAGCTTTCTTATGTTAGTTAGTGGCCTTTCATACTAAATTATCTTCTATATCCCTATCTCACTAGCTTTAATTATACAGATATCCAAATGCATATATTTACATATACATATAGTACTCCATATCCGAACAAGAGAGTTCTCAACATGGCCCACCTTTGGCAATGACGCCATATCAAACCCCACCACCGCTCTCGTTTTCTTCTTGACCCTCTCTATAAGTACCATTATCCCTTTACCCTTGCAATCATCCGCTTCTCACAAACCCATAATCAATCTCATCTCAATCAATCTTCTTTTCTTCTCCTTCTCTCTGCCAAAAACTGTTAATTAATGGCTGCTTACAGAGAGCCCATCAACGTGGGAGCCAAATCGCCCGAGCCGGCTCAGCCGCACTCGCCCTGGCATTCTCCGGTGCCGTACTTGTTCGGAGGTCTGGCTGCTATGTTGGGTCTCATCGCTTTCGCCCTCTTGATTCTCGCCTGCTCCTACTGGAAGCTCTCCGGATTCCTCGACGAAAGCCGCGAAGGTGAGCCGGACCTGGAAGCCGGTGACGCCAAGCTCGACGGAACCCAGAAACTGCCGTCTCCGGTGGCCTGCGAGCCCAAGTTCTTGGTGATCATGCCGGGAGAAGAGAAGCCGACTTGCTTGGCCACTCCGGCATCCTCGAGCAGGTCTTCTTCCTTCGCCGGCGACAACACCAGCGTCACTTGTACCTGCAACTACAGCGACAGATCGGTGGAAATGATCGCGACTCTGAAACAGGAGGGTCAGAGTGGAAGCCCGCCGTGATCAGGCGCAGCCCGGAAACAGTTCGAACGATCGGAACGGCTAATTATAACCTCCAGGATTGAGAAGCTCGTGTAAAGTTTTTGGACCGTTGCTAGAAGTTACCGTATCTATACACGAGCTTGCATGCAGCTGGCTTGCCCAGATTGGTAATTTGGGGGTTGACTGCTTTAAAATTTTTCTCCTTTAAGATGTAAATTATTCGGGAACGTTGTAAATTTGACTGAGGTGGAATGGAAAAAACTCACCAGTTTTTCACAAAACATTAATTTTGGTTTTGATCGAATGGATTTTCTTAGTGGATACGTGGAGGGGTGGGATGGTGAGTGATATAAAGTTGAAGGTAAGTGTAAAGCCATGGGAGCAGATGTCTGATGCGGCGGGGAGAAACTGTGAGGAAGAAAGAGTTCATTAATGTGGCAACAATTTACGAATTTTGCTATTATATTCTGTTTTTTTGTTGGGTTTCGATCTGTTCCACAGGGAAGTGTCCGCCGTTATTTGAAGCGGTGGCATTCTGATTCTTCGTCCCTCTTGAAGCCCTTTTAAGTATAACTTGGAGACAAACTAAGATGAGGATAGACAAATAATAGCTGCAAGATCTGTGACTATGATACGTGGGTCTCACAACAACAGAGTACATATTTTGCATTTATTATATATCTTCTCATATATATATATATATATATATATAAGAGTACAGTGGGTTTTGTTTATGTTGGGGGGGTGCATCACCAGTATGGAGATGATTGGTTATGGCATTGGTGGAGTATTACGGTGCAATGCAATTCCTCGGAGACAAAATAGTTGGTTATCCATTTGGATTCTCTCTAAATATCAAATTTATCATATTTTTTAAGTTCTCTCATGTGTCTCCCCAAGTGAATGTCAATTATGTGCCAAACACAATCATATTAAATATAAACATGTTATGATAGGGATTTAAATTTTGATTTAAATTTTGATTTGTTATGTTGTGAATGACTAATATCTGGTTTCTATCACATATTAATGATATGTATTTGATACACTATGTTTTTTTTTTCTTTCAATTTATACTATCATTTCATTATTCATAGGATTATATTTCTTTGTTTAACTTAATAAAGCCGCATTAGAGAGGAGGGTGCGATTGAAGTGACGGGCAAATCAAAATTAGTATGTTGGGCTGGCAATGTTCCCCAAGCTTTTAGGCTGAATAAGGGTTTCCATTTTAATATCCCCATGTTTTTCTCAAAAATTATTCTTTAAAAAAGGTTCATAAATGAAATTGAAAACTGAATTAGGGGCTTTATCAAAAAAACAAAAGAAAACTGAGGTGGCTTTGAACTGATCAGAAACTGTGTAAAAAAATAACAATAATAAGAAGTGGGATTATTTCAATGTTAACTTTTGGAGTTTCTTTTGGCCAAAAAAAAAAAACTTTTGGAGTTTCTTAGACGTCTCGACCTAATTAATAATTAACTTCTATAATAGACATTATTCAAGCCCTTTTTTTAAATAATGTCTCTGATTTTAATGTAATCAGTGATTGCTAGAGAAAATTTGATAACAGAAACATATTTGTCAAAATGAAGAAGAATAAATCATTTTAAATTCAATTAGTGGCTGGATAAGATGGACCTAGCCAGGCAGCTTGAACTGTGGCTTTTATCTGCATAAAGCCTCGTAATGCTTAGTTAGATGATCTTTCATTGTCATAATTAAGTCTTTATTGACATTGATCACAAGAATTAATATTAAATTTTGGGACTATGTACTGAAGGAGTACATAGTGTGTGTCTAATCTTCCCTCTAGAGCCAATGTTGCCATAATTTAAAATTGTAGACTTTAATCTCTCGGAATATTTGGCAACTTGCATGCTCATGCGTGTCTGTTTCTTGCAAATCATGTCCACTATTCCGATCTCATAATCACTCGTATATTATTTATGAATGTGATAATGAAACTTTCAATTTCTCAAATTTGTTGTCTTAGTTATTGATTTTTGATCCCTTACATTTTTTCAAATTACCATGTGTAAGTCCTTTGAGTTTTAAAATATACTCCCTTTGATTCTATTTATAAGTCATGTCTAGCATATTTTATTAAAATTAAAAAAAATTTAAACTTTAATTAAATTTTATCTTAAAATTTAATAAGTTTTCAGATCTACCTCTACCCTTTGATAAAAACAAATTAAAAATAATTATTTTTAATAAGATTTCCTAATACTTAATAAAGGCATAAAGGTAAAGATGAATATAAAAAATCATAAAATACCCTGTAAATGAGACCAAAATTAATCTTTCATCTCTACCCTATAAATAAAACCAAAGAAGTAAATTGACTCTTAAAACAACATTTTGACTTATGGGAACATTTTTAAAAATGAAGCAAGAACTACCAAAACTATTGCATGTATGTTTAGGAAACACTTTTGAAGTAACAATTTGTTCACTCTATGGCCATACTTCATTAAAATTGTTACCTTATGACAATAGGCTGGAATTATTATCTAACTATCTATAAGCAACGATTTTGAAATATTGCTTATCACATAAAATAGACAATATTTAAGAATTATTGTAAAATCATGTTAAACAGCCAAAACTACATAGACACACTTAATATTTCTTTTCCCAACTAAGATTCAAACCTTGCACCTCTTGAAAGGAAGATGTGATTTTAACTACTCTTCTAACATGGCTTTAAAATATTATAGATAATTCTTAATTTAATTTTTGAATTTTTTAAATATATAATAAATTAAAATTAAAGAAAAATTATCAAAAAAATATTTTCTTTATGTGTAGAAAAAAAATAAGTAACAATTCTTAAACATTGCAATAATGAAGATTTATAGGCAGCATATATATTTTTGCTGCCTATTAAAATAGGAACGTACAGTTTGGGAATATTGTGATAAAAGCATGTTTATAGGAAATAGTTTTCTATATTGTTTATTCAAAAATTTTATTACAATACTTTAAAATTGTTGCTTATTCTATTTTAAGAACAATTTTCAAATTTTGCCAAATAATATTTATTGTTTACCGTAGGGATTAATAGCAACATGTATACAAAATCTACTTATTATATCTACATTAGGCAATCAGAAAATTGTTGCCTAAAACAAAAAATGTTATAGTATATATTGATGACTTGACATGTATATATAGTTAAATTAAAAAAAATTAAACCTCAAATCAATTTAATTTTTCCTGATATATAATCACCTACTTCCTTCGTTAAAAAATGTAAGGCATTTTTAACTGAATCTCACCTCTCAATAAAGTAGCTATCTACTTTCAAACTAACATTATCTTTTTATATTTACTCCTATTAAACACCCTATAATAAATATAAAATCACTATTAATAGGGGTACTTTTGAAAAAAAAAAGGCAATGGTTACACCTCAACAGACTAAAAATACTTTAAATTTTTAAACATTCAACTACTTAAAAAATACCTTATATTTTTAAACAGAAGGAGTATATGCTATACTTTATTCTCTTGTTTTTTTTAATTTTAGAGTCTATTTTTTTAACTAAATAATTATGTTTTTTATTAATTTACATGGTTGTTATCAATATTTTGTTATCCATGTATGTTAACAAATTTTAATAGTATTACTTCATTTTTAAATAATAAGGATCAAAATAATAATTAAAATAAATTTAAAAAACTAAATCGATAATTAATGTAACCTTAAGCAACTAAAAGCCATATTGTTTCTTTATAAATTAATTTTTATTCCATCGTGACGATGACGTCTTCGAAACTACTAAAACATAATATGCTCATAATTTAAGAGGAAAAAAAAAAATCTTGCGGCAATAAGTCTTTCTAATTGGGTGTACTAAATTCTAACTTTCCTTTTCTGATCTTCCTACACTGTTCTGTCCTTCTCCCACTTGCTATTATCTCCCCACAAGTCAATCATCTAATAATTAGCATGTTTTGTTGTATATTTGCGGTATAGAATAATAAATTAGGGATAAGTTTGATAAAGCATATCATATTTTTACATTATTGTATTTCTTAACTTTAATTAAAAGAAAAAATATAATAAAACGGAGAGAGTACATTAGACTCCAAACTTTTCATTTTGTAAATTGAAAGAATTCATTTGCAATTACTAGTTTGTGATTATCAACTTGATTATAGAATATTCACTGAACTAACTCTTCATTATTATAAAATAAGTTTATAGAAGTGTTTTTTTTTACTTTGAAGCGCTCCCATATCGAGCACTCTGAAATATACAGGAGCGTTTAAAAAGCACTCTTGTATATATGTATACAGGAGTGTTTTTCAAAAAATGCTCCCGTATAAAAGGGCCAAAAATGGCACATATGGGAGCGCTCATTTTAGGAGCGCTCTCAAATGGCAACTTACAGGAGCACTCTTGTATGTCACTCTACAGCAGAACTCTTCAAATAAGTACTCCCGTAAATTGTTTTTATTTTTTAAAAATAAATTTTTTTAAAATTTTTCCTTTTATGTCTCTTTAAACAATGACTAATCACAATATGAAAAACTAATTCAAAAATAATATCAACATAAAAATTTATATATAAGGAAAGAACTTGAAATTGATACAATAATTTCAATTTCCTAACTAATTAGTTTAATTTCTAACAAGTCCAGCAAATGACACTATTGGTATTTTTCTAACATTAATATAACTTCCTATTACAAAAAATAATAATATATTTTGATCACTCTTTAACTAAATCTTCTATTTATTTCATAGTAAAATGCAAATATCTTATTACAATAAAATACTACACAAGATATGAAAGCAATATATTAGTAATTAACATTATATTAACTTAATTTTAAAGCTTTTGACTTACATTTTTAGGAATGATCAACTCTTATTGTATGATTATTTCTCTCATAAACTTTATAACATAGTATCCACATTCTCAAACTTGTAATTGTGTAGGTAACTATAAAATAATAAAAGATGTTATTATTAAAATATGGTAGAAACAAATTTTAACTTAATTTAAAATACTTCAGTGATGAAGTTATATATATGATACAAGTATTTGCTGTCAAAAAATCTGGCAGAGTCTCCCCTATAACTTGGAAGTTTCAAAATTTTTTAAAAATTCTACATCAATGCATAATAGCATATTTAGAATAATAAACATAAAATATCAATCAAACAATCATTTAGATACGTACCTACTTATTTTATTAAGAAAATAATGCAAACTTTATTCTTTTTTATGAATAAAACTCAACAGGATCAGGCCTTTTGGTGTTT